TTGGGTTGCACAAGATGATAAAGAGCTTACATCGATAAGATTAAAAAAAGTCGGACTTCGTTTTCGCAACTTGATCGTGTTGTCAGAGTGATCTAGTTGGATGCAACCAATCCGAAGTCTTCTGAAGAAGAAATTATGATGATTCCCAACGTTGTAACGTAGACTTAATATATTCCCAGACGTCTCGCCGGCACCGCCAGGGAAACTTGCAATACTCAGCATCAGGATACAGTTTGTCAAAAGAGAAAAGTAAAGTCAATCCCTTGACCAACTTTCTACTGAAACGGTTGTGTTAACACTCCCCTTTTTTCCTGGCCCCTCTATCTACTCCCTACCCTCTTATCTCACTCCGGCCCTATCAAAACTTCTAACTTGTTTATAATCCACTCGCCAAGAGGTGCCCTTTTTCGCCAAATTTAATTTAGCATCATTTCACCTGCTGTCTACCCTGCCTCTATTCCTTCCATCTCGATTTGCTGATCTAACTCGGGCCCCGTAGCAGGATCTGCGGCATGGGTCGTAGATCTGTTTTTTACTTTTCGGGTTGACCGATTTCCCGTAGTTCCAGCCCCAGTATAGCTTTTTATTCCAGGCACTATTTCTCAACACTTTAGAGGCACGTAGACTGTCGCTTCACCGAGCAGAGCGCCAAGACTCTGATTCGCATGCTTGCGAAGATCAAGCATTGTCTCCACAGTTCATCTCCTGATTACACCCCTGTAGTCTAGACAAATTGTGAATATCTATCTCTGGTCGTCTGCTGCACCTCAATTGGATTTCTAGTCAATTTGCCATAATGACGACTTTCTCTGACGGATGTGATTATCCGTCTTATGATTCTTGTGACAACTATGTCCCTAAAGTTGTGGTTGTCTCTTCGAGCATTCAATGAAAACGTGTTGCTATCTGAAGGCTCCTTAACCGCTTCTTTCTTGAGATTCCTTTTCCTCTGATTAACGATATCTCCCTGATCCAGGCATCTCCTTATTGTTGGTCTTGCCTTGTCCTTGTTTCCACCGAATTTGCCTAAGCAATGAGCACAGTTATAGATAACTCTGCCTTCTTCCGATCTTATGTTCATTACATTTTTTCCTCAAGTATGCGAATGGCTAACCTGATATTTCGCTTCCTTATATCTTCACCATATGAGGCCCTTCTACTGTCTCCAATTGATCCCGTGTCCAGTCTGTGCAAGGCGTTACGCTATTTCTTATTTTTCACATTTAAGTATTGTTTCGAGACTACCAGTAAATCAGTAATATGAGAGCTATTCAACCTAGTTCGTTAAAGGTGATGAAAGACTGGTAGAAGAATTTCCCCTCAAGGATATGAGTAGAGCTGAAGTTTTCACTGAATTTTACATAGCCTTGCTTTCCCAAAAGTTGTTCTCATACAGAATTGATAGCCTAGGTCTTATCAACAACCCCAGCGGGAGTCGAACCGTGACAGTGCAGAATGGAATCCTGGCACGTCAACTACTCGGCCACATTGCCACGAGTGCCCTTGGGTGACAGGGCAGATGTGAATTTCAAGGAAGGCCAGGCCTTTTGCCATATCATATTATTTGGTGGGATTGTCGATGAAGCAAACTTATATTTGCTATAACAATCGAATACGTTACTTTATTTTTCGCATTTATGTGTTCGAGTGGTTAATGTGTCCAGCTCCCAATCTGCACTGTCACGGTTCGAATCCCGCTGGGGGTGTTGATAAAACCGATGCGAGGTCGAAATTGCAGTCCACTCCTGCCTGGATGAGAACTACTTTTGGGAGAGCAAGGTTATGGGTAATTTAATTTGAACGTCAGTTCTACTCATATAATTGTGGGAAAATTCTTCTACCAGTCCTGCATCACCTTAAGCAAAATTGGGTGAATACATCTCCTATTGCTATTTCTTATCTTTCGATATGCATTTTCCTACAGAGCCTTTCATGTTCCTTGATCCGTATGCTGATTTTTCTCCCGGCTTCACCATTATACTTCTGTTTGCAGAAGACGCATACTATGCAGTTAACTGCAGAGCAATCCAATTTGTCCACCCTCTCATGTTGTTTAGGTAAACTTGTGAAGTGCTGTTTTTATTTAGCTGTCCTGGAAGCAGAAAGGATCAGGAGAGCGTCGCCAAGACGACTAATCAGCCCGAAAACAAGAACTATGTATTTTATATTCATTGGCAACATTCATTAACAAATATTTGAAATTCCTCTAGGATCGCCGCTCTCACCTCTTTTCGCAAACGTATAAACGGTCTAAGTAGAAGAGTATTTAGATACACCACTACAGCAACAAAGGGTGCTTACGAGATACCTGGATGACTACTTCGCACTTTGATTGCAGTAAAGATAAAAATTGGGAGATTTTCTGAAAGTGCTAAATCAGATTGATAAATGAATCAACCAAGGATATATCGATAATCAGAGGAAAATGGATTTCAGTTGGGAAGCGAAAAAGGAACCTTTGAAAAGCAAAAGAGGAATTTTTCAGTAAGTGTAGTCTGCTGCAAGAAACAACCCCAATTTTGGGGACCTGGCAGTCACAGAACCAGGAAGACTACACAACCACAATCGTCATGGAAATTCGGAATTATGACCAAATTGACTAGAATTATGCTTGAGGTGCAGCGGGTGATCAGATAGAGGCGTTTATAGCTTGCTTAGGCAACACGGATTGAATCAGGGAGAAGAACCGTGGGACAACAACTAATATTTGCAAGCATAAGAATCAGAGCCTAGGCGAAAGTCTACGTGACTCTAAAGCCGTGAGAAATAACGTCTGGGGTAAAATGTACACTATAGCAAAAAAATGCGGGTTTTGAAAAATGTCCTGAGATAAGGTTGATGTCAAAACTTTCAGTTCGTACTGAAGTACATGATGAAGAGATTGTAAGTGAGAAAGACTTTCTTAAGTTACAAGACATGGCTGACGGTTTGGGTGAATCAATCTATAAGATGACTATGAAGGTACATGATAAGAAGCTGAAAAACTTGGGTATTAGGATCTGTTCAAGGGAGCTTGTGTCTTGCTATCGCATATTTGATCACGGCTATAAAGATGGAAACGTCAGCTCTATTCATATCATTGTGGTAAAATTCTACTACCAGTCCTTCATCACCTTAGACGAAATAGGGTGAATACATTTCATATTACTGATTTACTGGTAGTCTCGAAACTCTACTCTTATATGAAAATAAGTAGCGTAGTAAATTGCTATGGCAAATATACGTTTGCTTCATCGGCACTCCCACCAAAGAATATGATATAGCAAAGAGGCCTGACTTTCTTCAAAATTCATTTATACCCTGTGACTCAAGGGTACTCGTGGCAGTGTAGCCGAGTGGTTAGCGTGTCAATCTCCCATCCTGCACTGTCGCGGTTCGACTCCCGCTGAGGGTGTTGATAAAACCGATGCGAGGTCGAAACTGCATTCCATTGGTGCCTGGATAAGAACAACTTTTGGGAAAGCAAGGTTATGTGAAATCAAATGAAAACGTCAGCTTAACTCATATCATTATGGGAAATTTCTACAACCAGTCCTTCATCACCTTAGACGAAATAGGGTGAATACACCTCATATAAATGATTAATTTATCCAGTACAAAGATGGAGGTTGGTGCAAAACTTCTACTGGAAAGAGGATTACATTTTGCACTACCGAATCAGGTAAAACACTCTCCGGAGATACTGGTTGAACTAATTAGCATATCAGGTAGTGCCTGAACAAGTCAAGAATAGCATAGAGTTGGAGGTGATTATTCACTTTGACCAGGTAGTTATGCCAAGGAAATCGCCCTTTCTGAAGATGTTTAGTTCATACTAACCTAGTTGTTATGACAGCCGACAAGGGTGGAGCACTGGTAGCCTTGGATAGGTCAAGTTATCTAGAGAAAGTGCTAATGCATTTAAGTGACATTGATACAATTAAGCCTTTAATGAAAGATCCTGCAGAGCGACTTAAAACTAGGCTAGGAAATGCTTTGAAGATATGCGTAAGTAGTGGGGAAAGGGAGAAGTAGAAAAGGAATTCCCTAATTCAAAGAGATGCTATTTAAACTTTTGCATATGGTCTTCCAAAAGTGCATGAATAATGATTTCCCCTTAGATTAATTGTTAACAATAAGGGTAGTATTATGTATAAAATATCACGTTTTCTATGCAGACACTTAAGAAATGTGACCTAATTTTAGATATTTTCGCCAAAAAACTATTATGAGTGTATTAATCTAGTGCACTGGCAGAATAATTCAGAAGAAGATATATTGGTAAGTGATGAAGTGATATTAATGCACAAAAATATTCCAGTTCAAGAAACCATTCAGGCTCTAATTCTCACCCTGGAACATTCACCGATTACAAAGGCATTACTCGCCTTCCTCTGCGCCTGTGTGACTAGTTTAAGGCTATAGCATCTAAGTATGTCTCATCGTCAAGCCCTTGCTACATGGACCAAGGATATGGTCAAACAGACCTACTGTCAGCCAACTAGCTCCAGTCTTCGCCACGTCTATCCTGTTTCTATCTGTAATAACAAGTCTATGACTTGCTATGCCCTAGTCGCTTATGTGCCAACCCACAAATGTTGTGGTACTGCTAGCTTTTATTAGGTTCAATGTTGAACCACAACGTTTGTGGGTTGACACACGAGAGACAAGGGCATAGCAAGTCATAGACTAGGTCACCACTCCTCAGTATTCCGATCTTCAGTCTGTAGTTACGATGGGACTGAAAATTAAGGATTATTCCCGCATATGAATTCTTTTTGTATAGTCTCCTCATGAGTGTCCCTTTGGAGCGCATGACTTCAATATCCAGAAAGGGTAGTCATTCATCCTTCTAAAACTCTAATGTGAATTTAATTCTTTCATCAAGTTGGTTAATAAAATTGAGGAATTCATTTAGATTTTCCTTACCATGTAACCAAAGTGCAAAGTAGTCATCCAAGTATCGCATGAGTACTCTTGCTTGCAGTGGTGAATAATCGAATTCCCTTTCCAACTTGTCCATGTACTCATTCGCCAAAAGAGGTGAGAGTGGAGATCCCATCGGTAGTCCAAATATTTGCTCTCAGATACTGCCGTTAAATGTAAAATATGGGGTCATTACTGTCAGGTTGATCAATCGTGTTGAAGATTCTTTCCGTATCCGTTCTGCCTCCAGAATGTCATCTTCTCGCTCGAATATCTCAATTAAGGTGCTTACCGTCTTCTCACTTGAGATGTTTGTGTACATGGATTGTACGTCAAAACTCACCAACAGTTCCGACCCCAACAACCCAATGTTCTGGATCCTTTGAGAAAATTTATATGAATTGTTAACGGTATTCGAGAGTCTGTCATTTACTTTCTTGAGCTTAAAGCAAATGAATTTCCCTAGTTTATGTATTGCTTCATGCTTGTTGTTGACTATTAGCCTTAGAGGATTTCCTTTCTTGTGTATCTTCGGTAGTCCGTAGGCTGTCGGTGGTCCTGCGTCATTTTGCTTGAAGATTTAGTCATCCATTTGTCAATTTCCCCATTATTTTGCATTCCCTTAAGCATATTCTTCAGTGTCCGGTTGATCTTCATGGTTTTATCATTCCTTAGTATTTGATAAGTGTTCCGGTCGCCAAGGATACTTTCCATTTCCTTTGTGTACTGATTCCTATCCATACAACCATCGCTCCTCCCTTATCCGCCTGAAGAAGTATTTGATCATTCTTTTGTAAAGTTTGTTTTCCAAAATACCAGCCAATCTGATCCTGTTTATCGATTCTTGATGTCTCAGGATCCGAGGGATTATTTCCAGTTCCATCTCCCGCC